TCATCTAATAGTCTGCTGAATTACAAAAGAGAGACAACACAGTTTGACTGCACTGTCTTCTTCTCTCCTGCTCTTGCCGCCCTACCAGTTCGATCTCCACCAGTGGGAATTATCTGGAACAGTTTTTGATATTTCCTTTTGCAAGAAGAGGCAACCTGAAGTCGTGCTCACCTTGCACCATGTCATTTTCGGTGGAAGCAGTCTTTGGATCTTTCTTTGGCCGTGAACACCTTCGTTGGAGGTTATTGTTACTTCGTATCAGATATTACCCTCCACTCCCTTTTGATTTCAGATCTGGTCTCGTTTAGTTTTAAGATTGACCATTGAAAATGCAGTTTTCTACAATAGGGAATGTGATTTCCACATGGGAGAGAGAGAAATTTTTAAAATTTCGCCCAACCTTCCTGTAGGATTCGGCCATCCATATGATGGATCTATCATCCCTTCATTAACAACAAAACCAATTTGTTATTATAAATATTATAAACCCAAAGCTTTCTCTTTATTCAGATGAAGCCACAAATTTCCTCTATTGGTCTCTCATTAGTCTGACTCCAATTTGTGATGCAAATCATATACAACCTAAAACCTTGAAACATGGTTTTAAAAAATGACCTGGATGACCTGTTTTCACAACAAAAATTTTTTGAAAAATAATTAAAAATAAAAAACAGCCAAAAAATCGTTGAACATGCTCACGCATTGATAATTTGAGCACCCGGATCAATGAATCATTAACCAATTCAATGGTTTTTGGCCAAAGACTGAATTAGAAAAAACGGAACCGATTGCCTGAAATCCTGAATGGTTCTCGGGCTGAACGATGCAACCATTCGGATCAAACTCGGTTCGAAAACCATGCCTTCAACCATTGGTAGTTAAAAAGAAATCTACCAGTCAATCCAATTTGACTTTTTTTGTTGAGCTAAAGTTGAAATAGAAACTGGCGAGTGGTATATATAACTTTTAATACCCCACTTATGACACATTAACCTCCCAACCACTTTAAAAATTTTATCAAAGAGGAAATAAAATTAAAGGATGTACTTGTAGCCCCCATTCTCAAAAGAAGGTCAAGGGTAATAGGAAATCCGTCCTACCAAACAACAACGCAAGTCACAGCATTAGCCAATACAAAGCATATAGTAATACATATATGATGATCTTCCTGTTTAAAGAAAGGAACTGATAATATATGCATTAATGCCCATGAGCCCTCTTTGAAAGATTAACTGTTAAAAAAAAAAGAAAATAAAAAAATTCAGGTGTTTCACCCAATTCAATTTAAATATCGGATTAATGTTCAAAGATGTTTGGCTGGTAAAAAATAGAAAAGTGATTTGTTAAGATAAGTTGAGGGAAGAGCCCCTAAAAGGTAGAAGTAGAAAACCATTCTCCTCAAAGAAAAAACGGTGGTAGTAAAGAAAAGAGGACCTTAGAAATTACCATGTAAATTATACGGGTATAAATGGATGGGATCATGATCTGGTATGGTCCTATTTTTGTTGGATTCAGATATCCCCATTGGATTTTTTAATTCAATAATAGGATCTGATTTTTAATTGAGTCGATCACCCCTATCTGATCATATATATGCTATTTATTTAAAATTTGTTTATATTGTATTTTTGTAATTTTTTATTTATTTATTTATTTTTATAAAAAGACATGTATATATATGATGAAAATAGTTCTTTATATAAATTGTTATATTTTTTCTTTTAATAATTTATAAAAAATTTCAGAAATTAAATCATATTGAATCATATTAGGATATCCAACATCCTTAACTAATTCAAATTCAAATTAATGTTTGTAAAATCCAATAGAATCTTTAGATTAAATCTAAGATTTATATTATCAAATCGGATTTAGATATAACCTAATTCAGACCTGATGTGATTTGTTTGCATCCCTAGGCCGAAATGAGAGAATCGAAAAAAATTAAATGATTTATTATAAGGTAAATTACATATTGCTACCATATACTTTGGGATAGTGAGAGATAGGTACCCTGAACTTTCAATTGCAACACTTGAGCACCTTGAACTTTCAAAAATAGACACTTGGGTCATCTGTTAGTATTCCATCAATTAAATGTTACATAATATAAAAAATACCCTTGTCACATATTTTTGGGATCACTCTATGGAATAAAATCATCACCAAAGAATGTCATTGTCGAAAATTTTGAATATATTATTTGTTGTTCATGCGAGAACATCATTATGGGAAAATGTTCGATTACCTAAGAATAATCTCAGAAATACCTGAAAAAAGGTATTTTTGACATTATATAATAATTAAACGACGGAATATTGAGGGATGGACCTAAAAAGGGTCTATTTTTGAGAGTTCAAGTGTTGCAATTGAAATTTCATATTCCTATCACTGGCCCAAAGTACAGTAATCTTATATCTTATCTTACATCTATACTGAAAGTAAAAGGGGGCTAAAGGGAGGGGACGTGGATGCATTAGAATGGAGTAAATAACATATACACGTGTGGAGTTTGGGGCATGTAAAATTTACCATTACAAATTTTACATTGGCTTGGACTAGTTCCAATAAAGTCGGGTTTGGTGTTTTGGGTCTGAGCCTGTGCTCAGAGGCCTAAATTCTTACCCAAGCTCGACCAATAGTGAGTCAAGTAGCTCGATCTTTGGAACTGGAGCATGTGGACAATGGTTGAGTCTATGAGGAGGTATAGTCTATCTTGTTTATGTCTGAACCGATGATTGGGTCACAAGTTGCACACTAAATGTGTATAAAAAAATTTAAAACTGAAATAAAAAAATATATATATTTAGGGTTGTCAATGGGTTGGGTTTGGTCCAATTGGTTAAATCGCTCGAACCATCACCTAGTCAAGATTTTGGGTCTAGTTTGAGTAAAACCCAAGCGGAGGTAAAAAATTGTTGACTTGGTCAAAAACCATTTGACCCAAATTGTTGGAGCATTACCCCATTCGACCCAATGACCAGGTCATGGTTTGCACACTAAATATGTATGCAAACTTTGGGAGACCATAACTTTGCACTCTAATGTTCGATTGAAGTGATTTTTCTTTTATTTTGGGTAACTATTTTTGCCAAAACCCCTTTTTGCCCTCAAATTGTATTTTTTTATATTTTTACAAATAGAAAAAACTTAAAACTAATTCAAAAAATATTTAGGGTTTCCAATGGGTTGGGTTTGGTTGAACTTGACTGGTTGCACTACTCGAACCATCACCTGATAAAGACTTCGGGTCTAGTTTGAGTGAAACCCAGAGGGAGGTAAAAAATTATTGACTTGGTCAAAAAAATGTCTAACCCAAACAATTGGACTGTTGACCCAATCGACCTGGTGACCAAGTTATGGGTTGCGCACTAAATGTGTATGAACTTTAGGAGGCCATAACTTTGCATTCCAATGTTCGATTGAGGTGATTTTTTTTTAGATAACTTTTCGAGATCTATGTGTCCCAAGGAGTCATAGGCACCCTTGCCCTTCTATTTTCTCAAAAAACAAAAAAAAAAAACCTTTTTGGCCTCAAATTATAAATTTTAATATTTTTTTTACAAATTAAAAATTTTAATATAAAATAATACATACATTATATGTAAAACATGATTATACATTATTTATTGAAAAAATGCATTCTTATAAAAATGGTTCGGCCTCTGGTTCGACCACAACCCAGAGGCAAAAACGGTTTGGCCTCTAGTTCGATTTTCAAAACATTGGCTTGGACAAGTTCCAATAAAGTCAAGCTTGGTGTGTTTAGGTCCAAGCCTAAACCTGGAGGCAAAAACGGTTTGGCCTCCGATTCGATTTTCAAAACATTGGCTTGGACAAGTTCCAATAAAGTCAAGGTTGGTGTGTTTGGGTCCAAGCCTAAACCTGGAGGCCTAAATTCTTATCTAAGCCCAACCAATAGTGTGTCGGGTAGCCCAATGGCCCATTGACAACTCAAGCTCAAAAAAAAGTCGGGCTTGGTGTTTTGGGCTTGAGCTCGAGCTCGGAGGCCTAAATTCTTATCCAAGATCAATGGCCAATTGAGAGCTCAGGCTCAGAAAAAAGAAAAAAAGTTGGGCCCTAGCCTGCCAGCCTAAATTCTTGTCCAAGCCAGACAAAGAGCAGCCGGATAGCCCAAAGACCCATTGTAGTTTGTTGGCAACCCTTAATTAATTAATTTAATAAAATAAGTAAACAAATAAACTTGTTGACGACCCTACATACTGGGCTTAGGAGAGAAAAAGAGATCCGAGAGAAATAATCTATTAGTAAATAAATTATTATTTAATTTAATAATTTAGTAAATTCAAAAAATAAAAATTGATGGATAATAATTTACTTAATTTATTAAAATAAATAAATAAATAAAAACTCATTTATTATTGGGATAGAAGAGGCACAAGCTATACCAACTAGACCTAGAATCGTGTATATATTTATATATATTTACTCTCTCACTAGATATCTATTTATCTCATCTATTTTACTAAATTTATTTATTAAATTAAATTAATTAATATTTAACTATTTACAATTATTCCACTATGTAAAACAAAAATACATTGACAAAAACTATCTCTCCCTCTTTCACTCTATTGCCTAATGGCCCTAATTATTTATTTATTATTTTGTTTTATTAAATTAAATATATTATTATCTATAAATTTGTATTTATTTTAAATAGATCTTTTTTCAATAAACTTTTAATTAAAAAACTACCTTTCCCAAACATTTTCTATATAATAATTTAGCTTTGTCAAGCCACTTACCATCGTGTTCCTCACTAGTTTACCCTTTATTATAATATACCTTCCTTACCGACCACGGAGAACATGTTAGACATTCAATAAAACTAAATCTTTTGAATACCAAAAAATAAGACTAGTCTTTTCTACTTTCAAAAAGAGTACTGGAGTCTCCATCTTACCTCCCAATGGCAATGGCATACAGGTCATTTTTTAGAAAATGATGGCTAATTTCGTATCTTCCAATCCCCAAACCCAAACAAGTATAATGAAAGAACCACCAAGAACGACTGACAGCATTCTCACGCAACGAAGGCAAACCAACGACCACAAGGAAGAGAAAGTCTCCAAGCAACCACCCCTTCCTTCCTCCTCTCTCCCCTCCAACTCCCCAACCAGAGCAACTTCCTTCCTCTTTCCTCTCTCTCTCTCTCTTTAAGAATTCAGTCTCGCTCTCTCTCTTTACATGTCAGAGAGAAGTTTCCGGCGACGAATTCTGGCAAAAGCCCCAAAAACTAGACCCCCATCGCAACCTATTCCGCCGCCTCGTCGGCGAACTCCGACGCCTTGTCGCTCAAAACCATCAAAGCCCATCGAAGTTCTGGAGAGATGCTCCTCCGAACCGATCCTTTACACCGTCGGATTGGCCTTGAGCGACGACGAAAATCGTAGTACTTCGAAATCCGATGTTCCACTATATCGCCTCCAGACATGTATGGACGTGTTCACAGCAGCATCGTCTCCACTTATATCTCCGTCTCCCTCTTCTCATAATGTCGAGGTACAGCGAGTCAAACCCATAAAATATAATTTCTTATAGATGTATTCGAATACTGAGATTCGATTTCGACAAAATTTGGGGGTGGTGTAAATGCAGAGATACAATGAGGAAGCGAAGGTGGTGGTGAGTGTGACGGTGGAAGGAAGTCCGGGACCGGTTCGAACCATGGTCCGATTGGGTTCGAGCGTGGAAGATACAATAAGACTTGTCGTTCAAAAGTACAGCGAGGAAGGGCGAAGCCCCCAGCTCGATCTCAGCGCTGCTTCGTCGTTCCAGTTGCATCATTCCTACTTCAGCCTTGAAAGTGAGCTTTCTGATTAATTTTAATTTTCATCTTTACTTGATCCAATAAACAAAGCCAAAAAAAAAAAAAAAAAGAAAAAAGAAAAGATTGCCGAGTCAATAATTGACTCGCCCAGCTTTCGTGCTTCAACACCGAGTCTTGGGTCAGGAAATGGACCGAGTCAATAATTGGTCCTTACTGAAAGATCCATCACAGATAACCCCCGGGCCCAAATTCGATGGTCCATATCGCTTATTTGAGGGATAGACATTCTTTTACCGAGAAACAAGAGTATCATATCATTTCCTTTTCCAAACGACGAGTCGTAGTGACTAGTGCTATGTGCCTAGTGGTAGTGGGGTCATAAATCAGTAATTCAGTTCAGTGCGGTCGACCTGGGCCCGTCTGCTGCACTTTGGGCCACACTATGAAGGTGAAGCCTATTCCACGGTGGACCGTGCATTGTCTGTACCTTGGCCCGTATCCATATGCAGGACATGACTAACAAGTCATAACTAAAAGTCTAAAACTAACGAAAGGAGGAAAAAAGAAGAAGAAGATGACGGAGTAGAGAGTAGAGAGTAGAGACTTGTGTTCCGACTTGTGTTCTGTGTTTTTTGTGTTTGATAGGTCTGGATAAGACGGAGAAGATCGGGGAAACCGGGACCAGAAGCTTCTACCTCCGCAAGGGTGGTAGTGGTCGAAGTAATAATAGTTATCATGGCCATAGCCAAGCCCAAGGGATGCTACAACAACCAATTTCTTCTTCTTCTTCTTCTTCTTCTTCTTCTTCTTCTTTTTCGACGTCGGAGGTTGTTTCCGTGAGAGAGAGCGCTCCCTTGCTACGGCCGCCGGTGATTCCACTACCACGTTTTGTCTTTTTCCCAGCCTTCATTGGCCGGAAGATGGGCATACTCGGTAGAAGAACGCGTAAGCTTTGGAAGATCCTAGGCTGTATATAAATCAATCAAAGATGGATGGCCTGGTTATGTTGATCACCATTATTTGTTTAGAACAGATCTTCTTCATTTTCTGGGTAAACCGTTAATTCGAATGTATCAATGGTCAAGTCTGGCTTCCGGGCATCTCCTGGCTTTGTCTTCGTTAAACCAGCTGTGGCTACTGACACAGGGCTAGGTTAATTGAAAACATACTAAGAGGAGGTGGCAGGACGGCACCGTCGGCCAGAAAAATTTCGAACCAGTTAAGGCGATGCAGATTCGATCCGTTTATAATTGGATTGAATATGGATCAAATCAAATTATGTACTTTGAATGTTGATAAAGTCATTTTGTTCATGATAATAACTTCATTTATATATTAATGATATATAATATTCTTATCGTTTTTAATTTTTTATTGTTGTATTCAATATTATCTAAATCAAATCAGATAGTTTGGATGTATAATATTTGATTCAAATCTAAATATTAGCAAATCAATTTTGGATCTAGTTATATCCAATCCCATCCCTCCATTTGCAGCCCTAGAAGACAGGCTTTTTTTCCCACTCCCTTGCTCAGTTTGGGAAGAATACAAGTACAAACATGTAAAACATGTTCGATGCATTGTACATTATGAGGGGTGATTTATCCCTCCAGCGCCCTAGTGACATGTGGCATTCGTCCTCGCTGCATGACACCTTAGAGTCATGTAGACAGTCACGAATCTAGCAAAGTTAAGGAGGCGGACCATGGAACTAGTCCTAACACCTCGTATATAGCTTGAGCACCTTGGAAGAGTGCCTAGTAACACCTTGTCCAAAGTCGACTTGTTGTACCTCCTCAATATTGGTCCAAAGGACATCGACGTGAGGAACAACCTCCCTTGAGGAGTTGTTGACATGATTAAGGACCAGGTGGCGACCTACGTGACATGTTTTCCGACCTCCTCTGCGTGCACCTTATCACTCCCTAGTCCTCTGAAAGTCAACTCTTGCACCGTCCGTTCAGGAGACAACCAGATAAGGCCTTATCACTTCACACGGAAGCCTAGTCCATGTGCAAAATTACCTCCGAGGATAGCGGGTCAGTGAGCCATGTCCTCCTGGAAATCTTGGACGCGTTGTGTGAAACTTATGATAACCAATGCCTATATAAAGGCCTCTCCTTCAACCTATGAGGTATGCGCGACTCAACATTAATAACTCTTACTCTTAAGCAATGGAGTGCCCACCCTAAGTAAAACAACCCAGATACTTTGGCATTGTTCTCTTATAACTCACCTAAGCGACCACACCAGCCTAGCGTTCGAGCTGTTCACCACCAGGGAGCACTAAATCGCACACCATAAGTACATATTTGTATTTGTACGCTTTCCAAACTAGTTTTTTCATTTGGTAATTAGAGTGCAAAGAGTGAATTCACTAATGTGAATGCAAATTTGTTCAAACAGAAGGATGTAAACATGATTTGGTTTTGCACTCATAAATTTACAGTATATTGTTTAGTTGTGATGGATGCAAATATGAATTTCAAGACTAAAACCAACCTATTTTACTTTTGTTTTCAGTACAAAAATATGTTCTTACTAAACACTTGCAAAACTGAACTGGAATACAAATTGGATTTGATTCCGCATTTGTACAAATACAAATATGCATAGTGCAAATACAAGGCTTAGAAGCACTTTTTTTTCTTAGTTTTTGGCCTAATGGCCTCGTGGGGCTACACAGAAGCGAGGTAGCGTATTTGGGATGATCATGGGCTGGGCTGGGCTGGGTTGGTTTTAGGGTGTTAACAGCTTTAAGGCTGGCCCATATGAATATACGGTATTTATATTTTAAAACAAATAAAGTTTTAATTTAACTTTATAGTCAAAATTACAGAAAATATATTTAGTATATATATATATATATGCACATGTTCATATCATATATGCTTATATGCCATTTGGTAAAATACCATGCATATGTGTAAGATACTATACAATTACCAAAATTGTAAGACATTATACAAATAAATAGGGTATTATACCAATTGTATAAGATATTATAAATATATAATTATACACAATTGGCCCGGGCCCAACCCACATTCTGTGCGGACTTGATGTGGGCTGCCTGCCAGTCTTTTCCATTCACTTCGAACTGAAACCCTGAAACCATTGCCCTTTCGTAACCCACCCACCGGAAATTAACCCGGTCGAGTTCCGCCGGCCGAGAAGCACCATGTGGATTGAGAACTCTCTATCTGCACCTGCCTCAAACATTTGGCATGCATGTGGAGTAGTCTGATGTCTGAACACCCTTGAAGTCTGAATAAAGGTTCAACTGGCATTTCCTTTGAAAGTATTTTTGGAATTGGTACTTCCCTAATGGGATCCGTCAAACTGTAAGCTCCTGATCCTCTCTGCTTCTATACAGAAGATCAAGATTCAGTTGCCGCAGACCCGCACCTGTTTAGCAAAGACACCTCTGAGTTAATGGCGTTTCTCTGCTGGACTACTCCACATGCATGCCAAATGTTTGAAAACCGGACTACAACGGTGACGTTTCAGATACTAGTCAATAATCTGCCGACGGCTAAGTTCACCGTGGAGTCGGTTGAGACCGTCAACAACCTCATATCTTGCACGGTGCTGAAGATCAAGGCCGCCCTTCACTGCGAAAACCGAGTGACAGTGAGGAGACTGAAGGTGCGGGTGCTGGCTGTAACTGTCCTTACTTGCTTGAAGACGACCAATCTAACGTTTGTGTATCCCAATAAATAATTAGCAGCAGCATCCCAAGTGGATTGACTGAAATATATAAAAGCATGAAATCACTAGTGTGTACATGCAGTTTCAGTCGTCTCATAAACATCAAACATGGATGTAGAGTTACGGAAGGTGGAGGGTTTCAGGTCTGAAATTGGAAATTGGAGAAAGAGAACGGATTACGGAAGGTCGAGGATAAGGGGAAGATGCCCTTTTGGGCGAAAAAGAGATAACGGGGCAGAATTAACGGCCGTCCTATGAGCTCCGCACGAGTCTCTTTATTTCGCGTGTGATCGGACACATGACACACCCACAACGCATGACTGCATGAGATGTATTTGAGGAGCAACTGTGGGGGGGGGGCCGGATGCGAACTCCACATCCCGACCTTGTATTGGGAACATCTCCCAATGATATACTATCATCTGGAGATGTTCCCAATATTAAGGTCGGGGTACTATCAGCGCCCCACGAGGGGGCACCCTACAACGTCCCTCAGTACGTCCTAGCCCTGTATTGTGGGGGGCTGACGTAAAATTGCACTCTTCCCATTCCCAAACTGAGCCTTGTAGCCAAAGAAAAAACAATGTTATCAATCACTATTTTACAATATTTGGGTACATGATCCAAGTTCCAACACCAATAGGTTTCTAAAACCAAAAAGACCAGGAAGGAAGGGCCATTGCTACGTACAATCTACTTGAAACTTAAAAGCTGAATTTGATTTAATTTGAAATTTTATTTCAAAAAATTGCACTAAAATTAGTTGCCCAAATCATAGATCCCTGTTACGTGCCAGCAGATGCAATTATGCAAAAACTGACACGAATCAACATCCATGTGATGGGAATGCTGGAACGTGTTGGCAGGAGATCCGGATTCAACCGGATAATCACATCGAAGAACGAAGATGGTAAAATAAGACAATCATTAAAGAGTTGCTTAAACAAAGAAACCAAGCTCTCCACCCATTCATTCCATCATTCTTCAATTTCCATCTACCAATTATTAAAGAGTTGCTTAATCATATGTTTTCTCAATTGTATGTTTACTCGGCTGACTGTATTAAGTTTTTAATTAGATTTTTGAGAATCAAAGAGATTGATTTTGAAGCATGATTCAACCTTCTAGATGATTCAAAAAGTGACATCATACCGCATCAGTTAGTTCTTATTTCATGAGATTAATATGAACAACCTGGATTGTTCAACACAATAAACAGTAATCAGCACTGAGATAAACTCCCTTCCCATGGGAAAAGCAAATTACTAACTAGGCCAAATAATGAAAGTAATGTTTTCACTAAGCCACTATGTTACTAATAATAAACCATATTATCATACATTACTTGATTACACTGGACGCCATGGATATGAAGAGAAAGCACTCAAGCATGCTCAATCTATACTAGCATCAGGTTGTCTTTCTGGCAAAGAAGCTTGGAATGCTGGGAGAACCTTATTTGCTTCATAGATCCTACATAGAGTTGGGAACTTGGACTGCACAAATACCAAACAAAATTAAAAAAAAAAAAAAAAAATTCTAATGAAGATTGAACACCAACCAATGGGAGCCAAAACATGCATATCAAGTAGCAACAAAACTACAGAAAATACATCAGAACAAGTTTGCTGACATTGCAGTAGATAATTTAATTCCAGCAATAAAGAAAAGTAGAACAGGATAACAGAAAGGAGAGAAGAGTTTCACCATATCAAACTTGAACCTCATAACAGCTACACTGATCTGTGGGGCCAAAAAGACATCAGCCTGCATATTAAAGAATCTCTGATTAGCACTAAGCTCAAGCCACCCATTAAGTATTCCGAGGAATGTTGCATGAAATTAATCATACCATATTGCTGTTCAGAATAAACTATTTGAGTACATAAAAAGAACTTTATTAATGACAAAACATTTAAGCTATGATTACAGATCTAATACCGAAGAATTTTTTTACTGCAAAGAGACTTCACTACTGAATCTTAAATTTTACATTATTTCTAACCAAAAATCATTTATAGAAGAAAATGAATGGATAGTTGAGAATATTCAAACATATGAAGCCAACAATTTCAGTAGTATTTAGAAAGAAAATTTATGTCATTCCAAAAGAAGGCTGGGGAAGATTAAGAACATCAACAAAAATCATAATGGGGTGGAATTAGACAATGCATATAATTGATTGGGGTTTCTGTGATGATGGGAATCATTTAACATGGTGAGAAAGGTGGGGGAATCAGAGAAGAAGCATTAAGATTTCTACAGATATGAGGAGTTTGGAGATTTCATTTGTTTTTTATTGGGGAACATAAATAGAACCTTTCTTGGGAGGTTGATTTTTTTTATATGCATAACTTTGATTAGACTCCTCTGTTTCTTATTTACATCAGATGCTTTTTTGTAATTGTCATTCATGAAGGGGGGGAGGGGGGANGGGGGGAGGGGGAAGACAACATTAATAACTTATTTTTTTCAACTTAAAACTAAATACATGAAGGTGCTAGCTGGCTGAGCTGGTGATGTATCCTGTTCATTGTAATGGAGACCTGGATCAATCCCATCTTCCTCTGGGTTGATTGGTGTTTGGGGATGGGTTAAACCCCCACCCCGAGTTGTTTTAGCCCATTTGCCTAGCAAAATTGAACAGAAAAATTAAAACTAAATACATAGGAAGTAGATAACGGGGGGAAAAAAGAAGAAAAGGAAAAATTAAAATCTAGACCATTCTAATTACATTGAAGAGCTAGTGGCTAAAGCATAAAGTCAATTCAGCATGCCACAACTATTACTGACAGAGAAAGTAACATTCTAAATAGTGATTATTTACATAACAACCTTCACACCTTCAGAGTAAATCATTATTTGGAGCTCCCAAGTATAGAGAATAATCATAATGCAATGAACGAAAACATAAGCTATTACTCTACAAGTTTGAGTGGTTTCAATATGTATCATAAGAACATAAAGAAACAGAAAGAAACCATGCATATTTCATCCCCAGTAGCGTATCTGCCAGCAAAATCTTTCAACAACTTCTCAAGAGCTGTATACACATGCACAGACAATTTAGATTAGTACCAGTAGTAGAGTGATACATTATCATGAAGGCTAGATAAAACAACGTACCTGAAGAACAAACATCAATACAAACTTAAAATTAGAAGCAGAAAAAATGAAAATAAAAAATTGTAGTAGAAAACATACTGTTAACATCAAGTTACAATTAGAAAAACATATTGGTATCATTCACCAATTTATGATTCACTGTTGCATATATTCACTGTTGTTCTTTGATATTTAGTTTGTTCTGTTGTTTATTCACTGTTGCTTTTATTATTTATTATAGAAATAGATAAGAAAAGGGTGGCAGATAGATTTTTTTTTTTGCTTGATTGTATATAAACAAAAGAGACAACATAAGGAAGAATGTGCTTTAAACTAACATAGATATCAGATGAAACAGTTTGTTCAATAGAGAATTCATGCATGCGAAGTTCCAAATGTCAGTTGGTCATGAGCACAGTGGACAATATGGAGGATATAGGAACATACCAGCAAAACCTTTCCCTATATGATACTCAGCCCATGATTGGCGTTCTTCAGGACCAACTTTTTCCTCAATGTACTTCTATAGAAATGGAGATACAGATATTGAATTATAATAAATAACACTAGGCTGTCAGATAAATGCTTTTAAAAAGACCAAAATTTATATGCATTGAGGCAAGCAGAAATACCAGCACTGACAACATATGAAGAGGTTGCATGCTAGAGGTAACAATACTTGCAGCCTGCATTATAATATTCTTCTTTTAGCATATAGTGGCGACCACTGAGAACACTACAAGAAGGGCTGCTATATAGTCAGACCAGGCAACACCAAAATGAAGCTTGCAGGTTTTCCAAGAAGTGAATGTGCTATGTGTAACAATTCAATTAAGCTGTACTCTTTGCTCAAACTTTAATAAAAAGATTCCCAAATATTCTCATAAATTATAAGCTACCAAATTGAATGACCTTATTGGTGATTCCCCAATCTATGGGATTGAAATCTGAAGCCCATTTAGAGGATGTTTATTATAGATTTATCTATTGCCATTTGAGATTTGGACACTGCCATATTAGCAGTTCAGCACCACATTGGTATTTAGAACTCAATGGTAAGAAAAAAAAAGAAAAAGAAAACATGTTTGGTATGGCCTGTTTATGGTGGAAGCTGCAAAACAACACTACACCTCGGGTTATGTGAATAAGCCCTGTCTTTTTTTTTTTGGTATTTAGCAACACATTAATAAGTCTCAAAGGTAGGTGGTAATAGCAGGACTCGATTCTGCATATCTGCAGGGATTACCCAGCTAACGTACCAACTGAGCCACCCCTCAGTTGGAAAGCCCTGTCTGAGGATGCCAATTTTTTAGCTTCCTATAACATCCATGTGTTTCAGAAGCTATGTGACAGGCCGACATCATAGTAATGAGGTATACCAATCAATTTGTACTTTTGAAATGCCCCACCTTGATTTCAGGGGAAAACAATGCAAAAACTGCCTAGTCAGCAGTTTTTAAAACCAAACAGATTTATGGTTATAACAGAAACACAATGGTGAGGTGTTGTGCGGACATTTTGAAATTGATTGTTTGATTGGTATCATAGCTAAAGCATCCATATCATGTGTGGATCCAGAAAATTGCAGATTAATTGGTGTTTCTGTTTCCTTTTCTTTGGGAGGGAGGATCATTTGAAATTCCACATGGTGATCCATTAGTCCAACCAAACCTTACTTACAGCATCTACACTTTTGTGCATGTCAGGATAAATGTGGTATTTTGACACTGCATCTTGAAATGCACATGACAGATTATTCATTTGAAATTTGTCGGTGCAGGCCATATGTTAGGACTTCTGACAGTTGTGAAAATCTACTTATCAACATTGAAATACATGATTCACTATCAGAACTTGGCAGGGAAAACTCCTCTACTTAGAACAAACCTAGGCGTTCACCCCACTAAAAAGGAGTTCGGATCTGCTAACCACAACACATTGCTGGCCACGTTCACCCAGTTGCACATCAAGAACATTATATAGCCGATATTCTCAATGTGGGGCTGGGTGAACGTGACCAGCAATGTGTTGTGGTCAGCAGATCCGGACTCACTAAAGAGAACCACAATAGATCTTGCCTGGAGGTTGACTGCTCTGCATTTGGCATCAACTGGCAAAAGGGCGTTTTGAGGATACTTCTCTTCCAAATACTGTCCATGAACAAGAATAAGGCAGAAAATTTCAACATTAAACAAGCAGATTGGAAACATCATACTAGCATAGAAAAGGACAAAGTTAGCATCAATGTAGATTACCAACCAGTAAGATTGCAAAGGAGTCTGAAACCACAAGATCACCATCCACTAACACCGGAACAAAGTGAAGAGGGTTTAAACGCTCAAACTCTGTAATGTAAGCATGATATGTGTGAGGTCTTGGATCGACCAAGCGCATAATTCTGGTGCATTTGAGAACGTAAATATCCTTGTATAGATAACGGTTTGGATAAATCAATGAATAATACACGGAACACTTTAGACCGATTAGACTCTAAATAAAAAGCTTCGAATTCACCTGGACTAAACTGCTCTCCTTTTGAAAGGTTGACTGCTTTGTACTCATAGGGAAGTCCTACAAATCCGATGAAAGTGCGGAAGAAAAACAGAAAATTTTCCAGAAAGACTGATTAATTCATAACTAGGCAATGCTTTGCCACATCATCATTTTAACTCTAATCGCGTAAACAACGAAAATAAGAACATAAAAAATAATAAAATTAGTAGTTACGCAGGCCAGCTCTCTGAAATCAACAAATACAACTTGGCAAATTCTTAAGTGATGATCGAACTGACTTTTCAGGTTTAAGGCGAAGCGAACACGCCACGAGCACGAGCTCTGCCAGTAGGAATACAGCTGAAGTTTATCCGAGGACGAGGAAAAAAAACTGCCAGAGGTATCCTGAAAGAAGATGGAGAAAACTTATCTTAAGTAAATCTTATTTTATAAGATTTCTATTAAAAGGGGATTAAATTCATAACAAAATGGTTGCTCAATTTCGATGGAATTCAGAGTGGAAGTGCTAGAATCGTAAATTTTGCGACTAAACGAGCATGCAGTGGAAGATACGAAGAGGAAGTGTACCTGATGAGGTCTCGAGTCCATTGCACAGGAATTAGAGAAGATCGGGAGAAGCAAGACTGAAGCTCTCGGCAACGAAGTGGTGGCTTCGAGTCTCCCCACGACTTTCGATCTTCGAATATGATCGACTGAAATAAATTCGAGTCCGTAGCCAACTCAAAAAAATAATAATAAAAAAAAGGGGGTTTTATTGTTCGGCCCCCCCTCGTACTAGTAGAGTAGTAGATTAAGAGGGGCTGTAATTTCAGATTTTTCTGGAAACAAGTTTCAACCTCCTACCAATTCATGATTTAACACCGTATATCTGATATCTCACCGTCACCGTGAGACTGAGACCCACCATAAAAGTAACATCCACCATATATAAGATGTGCGATGTGAGATCATATTGATAGATGGTTAGAATATATTTTGTTGGTAGGTGATTTAAATTCAATTGAAATTGGGATTTGTCCCTTACAGTACCTTTTACACCGACCTCACAACCATATTCCACCTTGAATGTACGAAAGATGTTCCCAATGTATAGTCAAAACATGCTGTGAGGTCTGTATGAGACACTTTCTATGAGGAGCAGATTCGGATTCCCATGCGTACCAAATTAAATCATCCATGGTAGTGTAGTATGTCAAATTCGATCAATTGGGTTGGCATCCCATGCCCATATCAAATTAGATCAATGCTGGTGTTATACCATATCAAATCAAATTAGATCAAGAGTGTGGTATGGTGTGGGTGGCATCAAGCTAAATTTTGAAAGAGTACAAATACTAATATATACAAAATATTAGGTTTGATGTATTTATACTCCTTCCAAATTGAGGTAGTGGATGCATTTTCAATGTATAATGATTGTCTAAGCCAGGAAATAAAGATTAAATGAATCGAACCAATTAATATCTGACTCGAATCCATTAATAATTGGATTACATTTTTTTTAATTTAATCTAATTATATAACTCGATGACTTTCTAAGGAAGAGTTTCATGAAAAAATGGTTTATTATTGTTCTTAATGTATAGTTGTAGACTTGTAGTGTCTTCCCAGTGGGTAGGATTATTATGTGAATCTCTCTCTCTCTGTTTTTCAAGTCATGTGAATCTGTTCAAGGGGTCCAAAATCCAAACCACCACTGAAGGGCCATCATGCCAAGGCCCAGAAAAGTAAGCGTCAGTGCAATCCTTAGCACCTGCAGACTTGCAGAGAAAGACAGGTGCCATTTGAATAGTTAGGCAGTTAGAGACCCTGCATGGTGTTGGTACAGCGTTCGCATGGCGGGGTCACTGGTAGACCTGTTGATGGACCGAGCTTCAGGCCCAATTTTATATTTGTGTCGACCTATGAATAGGTCTATTCATTGGGATTTAAGGTTTAAAGTATCGATAGGATACGTATTTTGGCCGTATCATATCAGTATTTAGAAACAGCCGAAACACATTTTTTTTTGTTTTATTTTCAAATTTTGATTTTTTTAAAAGTTTAAAACATATTTTTTTATTATTAAAAAAAAGTTGGGGGTTTGAAACACCTAGAAACAGGCATTTTTTATCGTATCTTTTTCAAAAGATACAATATAATATGTTCAATACGGGACGTATCGTATCGATACTTTAAACTATGTTGGGATCTTTGTTCCGATTAGATATAATAATGATACTGGAAGAGTTTCCATTCATGTATGAGGGCCCAAGCCCAATTCAAGATAATGATAGTAATCTGAAACAAAGAAATATATGGAATCGACAGGTTTATTGTTGCCTTATAAGTTCATATTATTATTATCTAAAATCAAATACAAATGAAGATGTGGAATTTTTGTTTTTGATTAAAATATTCTTATTTTTTAATTTAGTGTCTCTAATTGTGAAAGTTCAAAGTGTAATTTAAAATTTTGAATTACTATTTTTTATCATATTTAATTTTCTCATTAAGTCTTGTATTTAAGATATTAACTCTTATTCTCTCTCATTAAATCTTATATTTTAGGTATTAGCTCTCATTCTCTCTCTCTCATTTAATTGTGAAGGTAAATAATGTAATTTGAACTACTACCTTTCATTTCATTTATTTTCCCTTTTTAAGTCTTATATTTAAGGTATTAACTCTCATTTAATCCTATATTTAAGGTCCACTACTTAGAAAATCAAACTAGATCGATTAGTAGGCCCATCAAGTTCAGTCATATCCTTGAAACTTGAATGTGTTAAAACCAATCAAAATCATCAACTCAAATGGTTCAACTAGAAAACTGGTGAACTAGTCTTGGTTTTTGAAAACTGGTCAATTTTTTGATTATTTTTTAAAATATAAATGCAAATGTCCAGATGGAATAACTTTTTTATTTCCAATAACTTTTCAAGATCTATCTTTGCATTTGGAGGCCATAACCTTGCCCTACTATTTTTGCCAAAAAAATCGCCTTTTTGGCCTCAAATCTTAATTGTTAATATAAAAAAGTTGTAACTAAAATAAAAAATATTTGTCATAGTAGAATATAATCATATAATTGAATATATGTATACACATAATAGTACATTAAATTACATTTTCTGTCCTCATTGTCAGAGATAGACCAAATTCAAAAAATAATGGTGTTTTAGTCAAGAAAAAAAAATCCATAAAACGCATTTATTTAGTGTACCTTAGAAATAAGATTTAATGAGAGGGAATGAAAGTTAATACTATGAATATAGGACTTAATAAGGATAACGGAATGAATTTAATAAGAGTAGTAATTAAAATTATGTTTTTATTCTCATAATAAAGAGGCACCAATTTCAAAATAGGGATGTTTTAGTCAAGAACTTCAAAAACTAAACCTCACTTTTTTGGGAGGAGCCTACTGCCCCGGAGAGTCGAGAATGGCCTACTTTTGTTTGCTTGAAAATTGAAATCAAGGTAGCCAGAAATTGAATGGATCTGCCCAACCAATTTCTCAGGTAATGGCAGGACTAAGCAAGTAAGCATTACATGACAACGATGATGTCATGATGGTAATTGTCATAATTCATGTATAGTTTATACATAGAATGCCCCATTCCCCATACCCATTCTTGTAAATATGGATACAATTCCCAAACCCAGAAATACGATAAGACCAATATAATTGAATGAGAGAGGGAGAGGGGGAAGCAATTGTGCAACCGATAGCCATGGTAGAGAAAATAGATGGAAGATAGTTTTGGGTGGATGCAGAGAGAAGACAATGGACAGCCATGGTAGAGAAAGTTTGGTTCATGGCCAGATTTGGAATCGCAATCCCTCAAAAACAGAATGGTCTATTCTTATAGTTTGTTTGATTCAAATAGGAATTGGATTCAACTGGAATGGGATTTCATTCACAAAAGAGGGGGGATGACCATTCCCCCAAGCGAGGAATAACATTCTATTAAGAATGAAAATAAGATTCCATTCTACTCAACCAAACAGTTGAAACTGAAATAGCCCATTCTGATTTTGATTCTAAACCTTTATTCCTACAAGCCAAACGGACCATAAGAGTTTTTATTTTGGTTAATGGTTAAGAAAAAGTTATCAAAGGCATCCATCTATGTCACCACTCACCGGTGGCGAGTCACCATCATTAGCAAAGAGACTTTGGAGAACAAGTCTCATAATGTCCGCGATAATAATAGGGAATGATACAATGCTTCCAAGGCTTTACCACCACAATAGTACACTCAATAAAACCACTACGGATCTCTTAAATAAGGTTTTGTATTAAATTGTACACTAACAACGATAATTCATCAAAATTCACTCACGGGAGGAGTGGGTTTGATTAACCAGGTTGATAGAATTCTCATTGATTAGTATGGTGCTTTAATAACAGAGCCTCAAGCTTAGGAGATCCGGACTCCTGTAAATCATAACAGAACAATACCATAAAAATGGAGAAAATTAGAACTTGTACGGTTGTACCATTGCTGGGTGACGAGGACTCCATCAAAGTAGTTCAATTTAAGTTTTCTTTTTGCATTTGTGTTTTTAATTCTAAAATATATTTTATTTAATAATTCTTTTGTTCGTTTAAGTGTTGGGCTCCATGAGTTTGGCAAGTTTCAATCATAATAAGAGAGAGAAAAAAAGAACAGGTAAAAATCCTTAAACCTCGCCTAAGGTAAATGTAAAAGACCCCCTCACCTTTCTAAGACACTAGACACTCCTGTTCACTGAGATGGCAAGAAAAACCCCACAAGTCAAGCATTTTTAGGGATTCAATTCAAACAATCAAAACCCTACAAGGTTTTCCTACCTTTCCCTACTTTTTCTTTCAAACCAAACACAATCTAAATGAAAAATGGGCATTCTTGGTTTTCCAGGTCAAGGAAAGCAACCCATTTTTGTTACAATAGTGTCATAGCCCTGAGTTGAAACCATGGTTTTTAAAATAGGACCGGAAAAACTGGAAATCGATCAGGTGACTGGTTTCATTTTTCCTCAAAACCAGATTTTTGCAAAAAATTATTGATTTGGTCAATAAACCACTAACCCGAGCGTTCGAACCATTCAATGGTTTTGACTGTTTTTTATTTTTTTAATTTTTTTTTGTCAGAACGAGCTGATTGTTTGATTCAAACGGTCGGACCGTTCAACCTAAGAACCAAACCCCTAACCGATTCAATCTCCAGGTAGGTTTTAAAAACCTTGACTGAAACAACTAAATCAAAGCCTTTGATTTATTTCCATGTCCCCACCTTGAATTAGATATAGTGACTTTTTGATGGGGCCCCTGGAATACATCTAAGGTCATGAAAAGTGAACTCTAAGGGGGAAGAGAGAACAGCCAAAAATTCAGTCCAATAAAGTATAAAAGTGATGCAATAAATGATAATGGGGCAAATATCAGCTTAACCTCCCTTGCCACATGGTCAATAAAACAAAATCCTTTGTTTAAACGCATGATAATTCAAAATTTTGAGAGTGGTATAACTTGGGGTTTGGGATCCTGTCTTCCCATCCTTCTCACTTGGGGAGTAACACATCTGTTCCATTACACAAGTTCTGTATTTCCAATGTGCAAGCAATCTCATTCCTCAAGGCTGTGTTTGGTTTGAAGGAAAAGTAAGGAAAGGAAGGGAAATGTAAGAAAACTTTTACAAATCTTGTATAGGTTTCCTATGTTTCCCTTCCTTTCCGTACCTTTTCCTTCAAACCAAACATAACCTGAGGGAAAACCCTTTCTCTACCGTCTGTATCTCCAATGATTTCGCCCTCCATTGGTTCAAAAACCCATTTTAAACACAGCATGCACTTACAAAGTACAATATAAAAATAGGAACACAAGATGCAGTTCCCCCTCCCTCTCTCGTTTTACCGCTGACTCTACGGTCTCCATCAACCTTTCACCAAAACCTGGAACCCTTCTCAGAATAGTGTTTCTCCTTCCTGGTTATGACATTAGTTTTGCCTTACAAGGTTTTTCTAATGGCCTAAAACTGGAAACCTGATCCATGGATAGAAAAGATGGATAGCAATAAATCCTACATTCCTACTTTCTTGGGTTAAATCTCAAAAATCTAATACAGGGAGATTGAATTGGTAGGAAGCAAAAAAAACAAATTTTTGTGAAGAATATATCTGGAACTACAAGGAGATTCAAAAATCTATGTAAATGTCACCCACTTTCTTTACTTTCAAATCTTCCGTTTTTCATAAGCATTAAAGTCGTTTAGGAAACAAAATGAAAAGGACAGATCAGACAGAGAGAGAGAGAGAGAGAGAGAGAGAATTGAGCTCATGAAGAGAAAAAACTGGTAGGAGGAATGGTTATGGTTGAGATAATGGGAGAGAGGAATTCAACCCGTATTGGCCAAGACATATCGTTCCGAGAGTTCTGCAATATGCCCCTACACACCAGTTCAGGGGGTGGAGGAGCCTTGAACCCTCCCCCCCCCCCCCAACTGGTTTTGAAAAAAAAAATTAAAAAAAAAAAGTAATAAAAAAATTATCGATATCGCCCAATACACCCCTACCTGCATATCAGACGTATCAATATTTTAAACCTTATGATTGTGAGAAAAAAAAATGGTGGGTTATATTATTTTGAATTTATTTTACTAAAGTTTTATAGTAAGAAAAATAAAACAGGACAGAACTCCGTTAATATCTTCGCATGAAGGGAACTATGCTCACATAATTGGGCAGGTGTCTCTGGTTGAATGGGAGGACAATGAGATGGATAGAGAAGGGTGGAATATAGAGCAGATTTGACTAGGCAAATATGGCCTATCCAGGCATTTTCCTATCGTCTAAAAGATACATTCTCCTGGCAAAAACAGGTCAGGTTGTCCGCCGAACTTCCCTAATTTACCAATTACTAAAACTTCTTTCCAACAACGAAAAAAGTAACTATTTTTTGGCAGAGATTGGACGCAAAATGAGGATACATCTATATATATATATATATATATATATATATATATATATCACAAAAGGAGCCTTAAATTGATATCAGTGCACTCTATATCAATAGAGAAGCAATTCCACGGTACACCTGGTTCTTTACAGAAATGTTGGCTCACTTTTAACCAGAAAACTCCTGGCCTCCTCTTCCGTTGCATCACTGTACAAGTGCAAATACAGAAAATAATGAAAGAAGTCAACTTCTCTGTAATAACTAACAAATGAATGAGAATAATTAAGGGCTGGTACCTGGTATACCAACCCAAGCAGATAAAAGAAAAGATGAAACAGAGCAGAGCAAACCTGTCTACAGCTTCTGTTTTTGTTATCAACGTAATTTGTTTGGATGTAAGGAATTCACAAAAACTGCTCAGGTCTTTCTTCCGGCAGAATTTACAAAGATGACGTAGAAAGTCGTTGAACTGCTTTGGTTCCTGCATACAATGACTATTAAAACAGAGACCAGTGATATGATTTCATTTGTTCAGCTACACGGATATGACATTGGAAAACATGAAGATGGGATTGACCCACTTACGAAAATGTAAACTCAAAGTTGAAATGGAGATGGACCAACAAAAAGGTTAGATGATCCCCTAATTTCAGTGTGAAGATCCTTTCTAGCCAATATGAGGAGCACCTTTCTATTTACACAATAGCTAACAAATAGCTAGATGCATATCTGGAACCCTGATAACATTATTATTTCTATGTACAAATACATGGATTGCAAGACATCATGATTGAATCAAGAAAAATCACAATGGAAACATTCTATTAAGTGGTATCATTCTTTTAAGACAGTAATTTTTTTTTTGGTATGTTTTGAGATAGTAATTCAGGACAAAAGAAAGGCATCTTCCTATAATTTTATAGACATGAATCGAAAAGCATGATTGCTGAACAAAACCTATTTTAACATTTCTAGAAATATGGTGATTATGATATAGCATTTCCATAACCACACATTTGCATAGTATTAATGTGGCAACATAACAGCAGTTAGGCCTCCATGAACAACTACAACTGCTTGTAATCACTGGACTTTTTTCTCAATGAACAAAACTACAAATGCTTGTAAGCATAAGTTTTACCAATCCAAATGTAACACCAAAAAGAGATAGCATACCACCATCTTCAACAGTAAAAATTCATGGGTGATGGAGAGAGTGTAATTTGTGCCACATCATGTAGTCTTCGCCTACTCATGTACTCAGTGGGTCAAAGGCTCATGGATCTTTTTTTCCCTTTTCGGATCAGTAACTGTTAAAAGATCTATTAAGATATGTACAAAGGAATGATATACAGCATTGGTGTTCCTAGACCCCTAAAAGGCTAAAAGGAAGTTAGCCATGGCTAACCACCACAATCCAGTCTTCCAAGTCCCTCATCCTCTTGGGGATTAAAACCCCAATACATTTGAGTTCTATTCACTCATGGGTTATGTTTAACTGGGTTTCTTTGGGTCTCTATAGGTCTGTTTGAGTGAGTTTCTACTTTGAATTATTTCTAGGTTAGCTTTCTATGCAAGTTCTTTTTGGATTCTGTTATTTGTATAGGTAATAGGGTGAGAGACGTAAAATTGTGGATGACACCATGGCGGACAGTGGAATGAAAAAATGCAGAGCCAAAGATATTATAAAAACTAAAGATAAATTCCTAATCCTTCCAATGCAATAACCAATATATCAGAAAAAAAAATGGATGAACCAGAGCCACAACTTTTTCTTTATGCTTCATAACTTTCTTCTGATTGAAATAAGAGCTAAATAACCACTTTCTTCAAACTCAAAATCTCAACACCTCATGCGTGTTTAGAAAACAAGGAAAGAGAAATCAAGTGATACGACTGGATGTCACATTCACCATCACAAAATCTACACAAGTAATAAACTGCATCTTGTATTAATATGATACCTTAAGAGATATGAAACAGCAACTTCTACCAGATATGGACCCAATATCTATTCTGAAGATTTGCTTATTTTGAACCCACCAAACAATTCATGTGGACATTTTGATTGTCTTTACTCCATATAAATATTGTTGTTTTAACCCCTTCCCCTGAAGAAAAAGAAAAAAAAGGGAGAAGAGAGAGAGAAAAATACTGTGAGTCTGCAAGACAAGTAGGTCTCAACTGTCAAATGTAATATTTCTTTTTCCTCTTTTAAGAAAATAACCAGAATCCCTTTGATTAACGATAATATAATTGGAAATCTCTATCTTCTTGCAGCTACTATCAGAAACTGGTAAGCTGAAAACAAAACAAGGAAAAGAGAAGGCATTGCCATTTTGAAAAATTGCATTTCCAGTGTCATTATATTAGAGAACAAACATATTAAACATAGAGCAGTCTCAGAAAGGAAAAATAACATGAACTACCACTGAAATCTAATGTTATTTTTCTAATTGAACTAAAAGGACAAAATCTAAACTTGGCAAAGCACCAGGAATAGGCACATGAGATCATAAAAACATATTATTAATTAGAATTATAAACAGATAAAAAGGTCAGATGAATGGGAGGAAATAGAGACAATGGAGTACCTGTTCAAGGATGCAACCCTTGCGAAAAGCAATTAAACATTCCACTGCCTTCTGATAGGTATCCCCTTCATAGGAATTTTCTACTAGGTCAAAAATTATATTTTTCATATCTTTAATTGCTTTGTTAACCCACTCAGTACTATCTCTACGTGACATCATGGCTTCAAAATCTTGGACAGGAGTCAAATCCCCAATTTTGTCAACCTTCACAGCAGACTCATTTTTAGTACTCTCAACTGCCTGGGCATCAGAAACATCTCCAGCACCCTCTCCCTCATTTGATCCTGATGGTTTTTCTCTCCACAATCTTCTAGATGACTTCTTTATCTGCAAGAAACACCCACAAAATAAATTAGCATAAATATTCACCAAATATAAACAATTTGTTTTCTCAAGTCACTTTTGGAATAAAATGACCTTTATGTTCTCCATAAGCTCGAACTGCTTAGAGAATTCATCTATGAAAGATTTGTTCTGAGAAAGAAGTTCTGGATCAGGTTCAGTTATCAGCTTAAGAGTGTTGTCAAGTAGAGGTACAGTTGCATCTGGCTGCTTTGATTTCAATTCAAGGAAGCAATAGAAACGCTGAAAGAATATACAAACAGCAAGATAAGTTTGAAAACAGAAAGAAGAGAGATAAGCAACTATCATAAATCTCTGCTCAGAACCAGCAGATAGATATGCATATCCGATACCATTTTTTCTCTTGCAGCTGACGTTTAGTCGCTGAAGTATAGCTATATACCACAAGACCATAAGAAAAGGAATGGGAAAAGCATAAACACCAAGGACAACGGTAAATTGCATAGAAAGGTGAGTCTGAACATTTCCAAACATTGATGATATCTATATATATATATTAAAACAAAGCAGTCAAGAAATTTCCTCCTTTTTTTGAATATTTTGTTTTTTTTATTCCATGTCATTTTTTAAATAACCAATGAGATGCACTTTCCCAATAAATAATCTCCTCTTAAAATTTATCCTAAACTACCTCCCCCACTTTCTCCAGAATTATCACTAAATCCTATTTATCTTCTAAATTATCTCTAATTTAGTACAGAGTTTTTCTCCTAAATTATCTCTAATTCCTATTTATCCTCTCCCCTACTTTTTATCTATATCTATCTAAAGAAAGTTTTGATTAAAAATTTTAAGAATTATTTAAATATTCTAACAAAATTAAATAATAACTTTAAAATATTTATTAAAAACACAAAAAAATAATTTTATAATTTTACAAAAGATATCACGAAAAATAATTATAGCATAATATTGAAATTAATAATAATTTAATATAATACAAAACTAACAATGAAATCACGTAATAATAGTATAAATTGGGATTTTATCGATAATTAAATTCGATAGATAATTAATATTTTACATATTATTTAAGCATTTAAATAACTAAATATTTTAAATAAAAAATATTTAACATAACTAGATTTTGAATAGCTAAAATAAAGAAATTATGTAATAAATTAAAAAAAAATCTGAAAAGTAGAAAAACAATTAACACATAATATTGAAAATAATAATAATTTAATATTTTTACATTTGTAAGTGACTAATTTCACTTATATCAAATAATAATTCGAAAAAATAACTTTCAAAAAGATTAATATTTATGAATAATAATTTTAAACTCAATATGTATATATTATATAATTATATATACTAAAATTAATATTTATTGTATTTCAGTAATTATTTATTGTTTTTTTGTGATAAATGTATTTTCAATGAATATGTATAAGTTTATTTTGTTTTGTTATTTAACAGAAAACTTTCAATAATTATTGGAGATTAAACTACTATTTTTGAAATTTTTAAATTTAATTTATTGCATTTTTGTTATAACTTATTGATTAATATTTATTAGATATTAAACTATTATTTGAGATTATACTCTTTGTTAACTAAGTTAATATATTTTTAGTACTTATTGTATTTTTGTAATTATTGTATTTTTTCATTATCAATATATTTTCAATAATTGTGTATTTTCATTATAAATTTTCAATAATTATTGGAGATTAAACTACTGCCATTTATCAGATATGAGACTATTAATTTAACTAAAATTATGAGTGTTCATAAGTTGGTTTAGTTCGGTTATAGGATATTTGGCGAACCAAATTGACCTGGTCAGGTTGGGGAGTTGGTCAGCTGAAACCAACTGACCTTTTGTGAAAACTGACCCACTCAAATGGTACCGGTTTGGGTCTATTTTTTTGTTTTGTTAGTCGGTTCAAAAGATTTAAACTTAAAAAATTAATTTAATTTTAAAAAATATAGTGCAATTATTAATTTTAAAACATTTTAGACTAAAAAATATGGGAAATTTCCCACTTTCCATGTTAAAAAATATATTTAAAATATAAAATATTAATATATCCATGGTAAGATTGTTCAATTTTGATCAATTTACAAATGGCCAAAGTGAAACTAATGCAACTTGGTCGAATTGGCAAATTTTTTAACCAAAGCCGACCTAAAATACTAGAGAACCGACCAACTCGGGTCGAGTTGATCGAGTTGGTTGGTTTCATCAGTTTGATGAATAAACCTAACTGAAATTAATTATTGTTATTTTTATATTATAAAAAAAATATTAAAAGTAGTATATAAAATATGAATAATTATTAATTATTTAAAAAGTTGAAAATATAAAACAATTGTATATTTTTATGTGTTTTTATTAGGGTCATTTACTAGAACACACCATATAGTTTTACATATTTACTTAAACCTACCTTTTCATTTTACTAAAACATCTCATATATTTTAACACTTATTTATTTAATCAACCTTTCATTAAGGAGTGTTTGTTTTTCCATTAGACCCATGATTTTTTATTCCAAAAATACACTTAACACTTTTTTTGTATAGAAAAAAACTATCATCTAATGGAAGATTGATTAAATGAACATTAGGGTCGACACTATCATCTAATGGAAGATTGATTAAATCCATTGCAAATTATAAATGGTGTTTTAGTAAAATGCTAACTATAGGATAGATTTTAGTAAATCCATGAAACTATAAGGGGTATTTTAGTAAATAACCATTTCTATTATTTAGCTTTCGTTTAATAAATCCCGTGCATCGCACGGGTCCCCACTAGTGGACTGTTATGCTTATGTTTATTTGTTGGATTAGTGGGCCTGGCTCGTTAATAGTCATGTAATGAGTTGGGACCACATTTAATATGCCCATTAAGACTTGGAGAGCTTGGTGTTGGCATTGAGCACAATAGGGCGAAGCACATAGAAGTGGATAGACATTTTATTAGAAAGAGAGTGGCATCTGATGAAGTATGGCTTCCATATGTCCCCTCCAACTAGAAGCAATGATTCATTTGGCCTCCCTTTAAATTTCCCTCGTTCTTTTTTACTTCCTCTGTTTTCTCTCTTCTCTACAGCTTTCTTCTTCCTTTCTTTTACTATTTTCTCATTACTTTAGCAGTCTCATAATTTACAAGTCCAAGCATGCATTGTGAGGCATTACAGAGATCTATTCTTTGGTGGACCAACTTTTGTACTTAAACTGTTTCCAAATCCATTCAACACACACATCAAAGTAAATAAACAAATAAATAAATAAAATTTATGGATCCCTGTGGGTGTGAGGTGGGGACCCATAATGGCTTTTATCTCAAAATACCAGAATTTTGTGCATCACATGATATATTCAGTATACTAAATGAGGTATATAAATGCTCTTATTATTAATAGGAAAAGAAAGATAAGCACATATTGAAAATGCATAGAAATAGAGAATATGTATCAAACACATCAGACGTCCTAATCATGTTACCATTAGACAATGCAGTTCTGGTAAATTCACCTTTATAACTTTATTTAAAGGCATATTGTGATTTTAAATATCAGTTGCACTTTCAAAAATGTATAAGCAACAAATCAACTAGTAAAATAAGTACTTAAACTAATAAATGAATCAGTCAAATATATGCAACACAAATGAAAAATGTATAATCTTGTGGTATTTTCAAGAAAGAATTGCAAATTAAGAACCTCCAAGATGGGATTAGGTGTCAAGTCAGGTTGCAACACTTCTTTTCCTGGTGATCCAAGGTCAAGCATCTTGACCAAACTGTCTGCTGCCTTTTGCTGCTGAGCATTTGGCTGGCATGATGAAGGCAGATATTTGAAGGAGGGAAACTGAAACTCTCTGATATCTTCAGCAAAAGGAAGTACATTGAAGTAAAATGAATCCGGCTGCTCAACAAAGTAAACAACCTTGCTGAATCAAAAAAGTAACTAAGGCCAGAAAAGGAAAGAGATTCTTGTAGTGTATACACATACATATAAATATATATGTATTAAAAAGTTGAAGTAAAGCATGCACAAGAACCGGATAATAGAACTTACAATATTATCCCGGTGGGATACATTAGGTGTCAGGACCCCCACAACAACATTCCCCTGTCCATGCCTCCAAACACAGCGCAAAATTGCCACCTTATTCATATCCTGCATTGCTCTTGCAAGGGCAGAAACTGCAAGAATGGCCCTTGTATTGCCCGGTTCAGCAATGAAGATGTTCACATCTCTCATATAATAGTGTCTTTGAGGTTATATATAAAAATCAAACAGAATTAGAGGATAGAGAAGCTAATAGTTCATAAGTAAAAAAGATTAAAAATGGCAATGGCTTGCACTAACCATTGTAATATGTATGAGAAACAAAATTATATGAAACCAAATTTAAAAAAAACTAGACTTACCGCAATATGTTTGAAGAATCTGTAAATCCTAACAACTTAACACTCCTTTCTGGTTTGAATTTGACTGCATCCCATTCTGCAGATGAAATAGGAATAACTTGAGGTCCATAGCGATAACCCTTAATCCTTTGCTCTGGGGGTACAACTTTACTAGGATCATCAACCCTTCTATATTCATAATCTACCTTCACTTCATGAGTTGCAAATCTATCAGTTGGAGGTGCTTTATCAGAATACTTCTTTAGCCTGGGGAACCTCTCCTCACTTGTCTTCTTATACACCCAGACCTGAATCATAAGCAAAGTTACATTAAATGAACCAAGACACCTTGCTCTCAAAATCCAACTTGTAAGATAGACTGATAAGATGTTTAATTCACACATAATTGTGGTAATGGAAATCAAAAGATTTCATTTTTTTATCATAGCAGATCAATAAGAATTTTATAAATGTAGTAAAAATCAGAAAATAGAAAGAATTAGCTTAAATTAAGCTGGATCAAAACAGACTTATAAGAGGCCAGGAATTAATGAAAAAAAGGAAAAAGAAATGAATCCAAAAGATATTAAAATTATCTGTACCCACCTCCCCCCCCCCAGGCCCCATGAGGACACCCAATACAAAATCTTCTCTATTGGCCTGTTCTCATGCTAAGGAACCAGTGGTAGAGTTAACTGATCTTAGCACCCATCTGAATGAGGTGTTCATATTAGATGCCAAGGATCCAGCCTCTCTTAATGCATGAAAACATAACCATGAATCTGATAGACAACATCCATCCAATGACAACCTGTTAATCCCCTATGAAGAACAAGTGAAATACCCCCAAGGGATTAGAAGCCAAAACTCTACTATCAAATTTAGAAAAGTCTATAAAAATACCCTCAAGTGAAATAAGCGGGTCCAATGTCAAGGGGGTTTCAAAATCCCCTGTAGCCCTTTCTTGAAGTCAAATCAATGCAATCACAAGGTTTGAGGATAAGAATGGTTTAAGAAAAATATTTTTCAAATATCCCTGCACCAGACATCTTCCCAAAACTTAGTACATTCCCAGAACAAATATCAAACCTGATAATGTCACCAAAAGAAAGGGAACAAACCAGAAATGGATGCTACCCACCATCCATTAGAATGCATTATCCAAATCAGACAGAAATCTCCACAACCACCTACAAAGTAAAGAAGAATACTCCACCCTAACGTTGCCCAACCCAAGCCCACCTTGCTCTTTTTCTTTTGCACACTATTTCCAACTTAACTATGTGATCCCTCTTGGATTCAACAAGCCCCCACAAGAAATCTCTCATGACTTTTCCTAGCCTCCTAGCCGCCAATGCTGGGATTCTAAATCATATTACTCATCCTCAATTTTTTGGGTGTATAAAAATACATAAATATGTATATGTAAATAGAAAGATAGGAGGTGCACAATCAAAAACACATATATATATGGGGAAAGCTTTGCTAGCCAAGTTGTTTAGAACTCTAAATGACCCAAGAATCTTCAGCAGAGCAATGTAGGTATGCATGTATGCATGCATCATACGTCTATCCATCCATACATATATGCATATATGCATACATATAGTGTGCGTGTGTGTGTGCGCGCGTGCGTGCGCACATGCTGACATGCAAGAGAGAGAGAGAGAGAGAGAGAGAGATCATGACAAACAGTAGAGCTTCCATGAAACATCAGATGAAAACGATGGACAGACTATTACTCCTCTACTAGAGCAATGCCCAACTTAGCCTCTGTGAAGTAATTAGATAGAATAATAGAGTTGAACATTTTATCAAAAAATGCAGAGAGAAACAGTTATATTTACAAGGTAAAAATTATCTTGTAGGTATAATGTTGCATGCAGAAATTAATTGGCAGGAAAGGTTATCTCACCTTGATTTTCATTCGTGGGCTTAGCTCAAGATCACCTCTGAATATTGTAACAGGAGATATATTTCGAGTTCTTATAGCACCTAACAGTGAAGTTGGACTCTCAACATATATTGTTTTTGCACATGATTTCTTTGAAAATCGATTCAACAAGAGATCATTTTCATCCATTATCCTCCTATTTGCATCACCAGTTAGCTTTCCTCTAACTATTATACATTCCAGTTTCATTCCATTAGCATTCATTTGTGCAGAAATCATGTCAATCTGATCTTCTTTTGTTCCTTCATATGGCTCTTTAATGCGGTACTGGGCACTCGTCAAAAGGCAAAGGCGTTTCTTTCCCTTGTTTGTTGGTCCAAACTTCTTTATCAGCATATCCATTCCTACCACAATAGCATCAAGAACTAGAGACAAGTCAAGGATCCTGCAACTCAATGCCAACAAGGTACAAAAGGAAAACAATGAACAGAATACTGGCTTTGAATCACTGACTTGATAACTTCATAGGCAATGTTGTCAAACTTAGACTGGACAGAGAACCATTTTGGTGACTGGTAACAGGCCAAATGGTTAAACAATCCAGTTCAACAGCTTGAATTGTTCAAATATAAAAAGTTAAAAAATTTTGGAAATGGTTCCGGATAGTCTTTTAAAGCTATTTCACATCAAAATAAGCTTAATACAATAAATATGAGAGGGTGTAATACATATTAGCACATGCAAATAGGGTTATTTGACCAAGTCAGCTGGGCAACCAAAAATCCATTTTGGCTGCCAGTTCTCAATTCTAGCACTTTAACCATCCAGTTCAGTCCAAGAGTCTAACAACGCTGGCATTAGGCATATGATGGTATTTACTCATAAAGGATACTTTTTGTCATTGTACTTGTACAGTCATATTATATAGAAGCTGTTGATCTGGGTGGCAAGCCCTAGGTTTTGTTTTCTCTTCTAATTTCTCTCTTCTTCCTCCTCTCTCTTCTACCTTTACTCAAACATATAATACTCAATTCATAATACAAAAAAATATAACCCCTTACACCTTGTGAAACAAAATATAAAAATTGTCTTTCTTTAAATTGAACTTCAAAAAAGTAATAGATGTAAGTTGCAATTGAGCCCAATACAATTTATCCCTGTTTACCCCTTGCTTAAAAGCATCTGCCATCACATAGGCCGATCTCCTAACTCAATTAATCCTCAAATCCATATTTCTAGTAAGCCATTTAAAATTCTTCATCTTATCCCTAAAGCACCAAATTATAGACTTTGGTTCCTTCAACTAGCCTACCACCAAGGCACTAATTTAGAGTCCCCTTTCAATCTCCGCATTTATCAAATTCAATTTGTTTGCAAGCTGCACCCCTTGCAATGCAAGAAGTAATTGGGCCCCGATGGAAACCACCTCTCTTACTGAACCCAAGAATGAAGCAACGATATTTCCTTCTTTGTCTCTCTCAGCCCTCCTGTTCCAAAGGGGCCTAGGTTACCTTGACAACTCTTGTCAAAGTTTAGCTTCACAAAATCATCAACAGGAGGCTTCCAAACTAATTTAGCTCTTCCTTTTTGGATGAACTTATAGCCAACACCTCCCAATTTCTCCAAATATCATCCAAGGAAAATTACGAAAATGAGTCCAAAGTTCTAACCCAATGTATCACCCTAACCATTACATAATCTCTTACATCTTCTTTACTCCGCACCTTCTCTGAGAAGATTCTAGCACTCCCTTCTTCCCAAAAGAGTCCAAATCACAGTTGTTCTTACACATCTCAACATAATCCTTCCCATTCTCTAAGGTCAAACAAAGGTAGAAGGGTCAAAAAGCATGTCACCTCCATTGGTAGATTCTACCTGCACCCAAACAACGAAAAAACCCTTCCCAAATATCCATGGCAAAAAAATGCACCAATTTAGGGATAAGCACAAAAAATGGTCTTCCTTTTTGTAACAAACCTAGAGTGTTAGCCTTCCCATGAGACACTTCCCAACAAAAGTCTCCTATTTTAGGTGGAATAGGCCAAAACTAAATAGGAATTGCAAGGAAGCAACTGCACAAAAAAAGGAACATAGGGATTATCCATTTGATGCATGAAATAAATTATCTTTTTTCTTTTTTGATGGGTATATGCATGAAATTAACTTATAACACTTTTTCATAACCAAATCAATAAAATTCATAAGATTTTATTCATCCAGAAAAACATTATTAGTAAGATCAAAAGTCATGGAGGATGAACAACAAAAAGACTATTCGGGTTAGTAACCCAATCAAAACCAAAGACCAAAAACATGTCCCTCTAAGAATTAAAAGAGCACAAAGAAAGCTTCACATTCATGATCTTGTAGACCATCTAAAACTAAATTACTAAAATTTAAAGAATTACCAAACATTCCAAAAAGAAACATGGTTATGGAAAATGGAGCAAAATCTAGGCAAAAGAACATTGTCCACGCCATATGCCTTCCCAATTGTAGAGACTAATTTATGTCTCTTACATCTTCTTTCCTTTTTTGGCTCTTGGGACCACTCTTTTATGTTGTAACTTATGTACACTATCTTTTGTTTTATTCTTTCTTGTAAGATAAGGGTGCAACTGTCCTTTCCATAACCTTGTATTCTTTCTTAAATAAGTTAATCATATCTGGGTGTGTGATTCGAGAGAGAATACGCCCTTTCATTCCTAGCTTTTCTTCTCTGATTTGAACTAAGTTGACATGGTATCAGAGCGGGTTTTTCAACCTGTTCTTGAATGAAATCTGTTTAGGCCTGTGAGATCGACCCACCTACTTCAACTTTGGATCTCGTAGGGTGCTGTACTGATCAGCAATCTCTGTTGTTCTTTCTCTGGAAGATCACCATCAGCAATAGGGTTTCTTCTTTTTCTCTCAATCGGCTACTCCAAACACTGAAACTTCAGATCTGAAGTCGCCCAGGTCAGATCTAGATAGATCTATATTTTAGTTCTAGTTCAGATTCCTTTTGAAGGGTGTTTTGCCCTTCTTGTTCGAAAGTCCAAAAAACTTACCTTTTTTGGACTGATATGAGTTGAAAACTTTGTGTGGCTGTTTTTTTATTGGATTTTGCTTCCTCCTTGTGTGTGATTAGACACATATATTCCATCAAGTTTTGGATTCATTTGGACCTTCGACTACTCTACTTTCTTAGTTTTTTTGTTTATTCATTGCTGAAATGGCCATGGAGAAAAGGGATATTCTACCAATAAAATTCAATGGGACAAACTATGCCTTCTGGAAATTCCATTTCCAGTTCTTTGTTGAGGGAAATGGCCTATGGGGATTTGTGGATGGTTCCACAAAACAACCTGATGAATTTGATTCCAAGGGGCTGAAACAGTGGAAGATCAACAATGCCAAAGTAGTGTCCTGGTTTCTTGGCTCCGTTGAAACTGAGATTGCAATTCCAATGGAAGTTATCAAACTGCTAGTGAGATGTTCACCTATATGGAAAAGGTGTACCAACAGTCCAACATCTCTCGTCAATATCAGATTGAGACAGAGATTTTTTCTTACAGTTAGGGTGAGAAGAAAATACAGGAGTACTATGCTGGCTTTATGAATTTGTGGACAGAATATGAATTAGTTCACATGGGTGAAAGCACCTATACTTGCTGCATCAAAAATCTGAAAGAACACTTTGATAGGAGGAAGATCATGCACTTTCTGATGCATCTGAGACCTGAATATGAAATTGTAAGGTCCAACATTCTCAGTAGGGGCACTCCTCCCACACTTGACACAGTTTTGGGGGAGTTTCTCAAGAAGGAAACTAGACTCATAACTCAATCAACCTTGAGGTCGAAATCTGATTCTAGAACACAGAGACAACATTTCTGATGAACAAACCCAAGACCAAGGACTTGTCCCGTGTATAGTGCTATGAATGCAAGGAATATGGACATCTTATCTCACACTGTCGGAAGAAAAATTTTTGTACCTACTGCAAACAACATGGACATATTATTCCTGAATGTTCTACCCGGCCAGCAAAGGAGAACAATTCAAGTTCTAAGAAGAGTCAATATAAGGCTTTCCAAACAACAACTGAAGGTGCAAATACAGGAAGTACAGCTTCAGCAGGAATGGATGAAAACTCTGGAACTCTTACAAAAGAAAGAATGCAGCAACTAGTATCCTCAGCTATTTCCTCTGCATTTTCAGCCAGGCGTTCTTTCGGGTAAGTCATCCTATTATTGTTCCTCTCCTAGTCACTTATGGATCATTGATTCCGGGGCCTCTAACCATATGACAGGGGCACACACTGGTCAGTCTGTTAAACCCAAATCTTTGAATAAACATATTATTACTGTTAATGGAGAGAAATTGGATAATGTTGGTTGCAATGATTTGTCTTTGACTACATCTGTCAATTCTTACTTTCATCTACCTAAAACTTTCTTTGTTCCTAAACTTACAACGAATTTGATCTCAGTTGGTCAACTAGTTGAGCATAGACTAGTTCGGCTATTTGCCTTGGAATTTGAAAAGACACTAGGCCTTCATCCACATCCCGTTTGCTTACTACTACCCCTAATACTAAAAAGTACTAAAGTACCTTAATAATGCAATTAAGGTACTTCCTAAGGATAGAAGTAGCGAGGTCCAAGAATGGTATTAATCTGTTCCAGAGGAAAATGTCCTTGATCTATTAGAGGAGACAGGGTTGTTAGGTGCCAGACCAGTTGAAACACCCATAGAACCGAATGTCAAGTTAAGTAGTAAATGCATGTGAGGAGTTTGAAGATCCTAGAAGGTATAGAAGGTTGGTAAGTAAGCTGAATTACCTAACCATCACTCGGCCCGATATCTCATTTGCAATTAGTGTAGTGAGTAAGTTTATGCAAAATCCTCGAATTCTACATTGGGAGGTGGTTCTAAGGATTGCACGGTACTTGAAAGGAGCTCCAGGTCGTGGTTTGTTATATAAGAGTGGAGGAAGTCGAGAGATAAAGAGATACAAGGATGTTGATCAGGCCGCTTCCATATCTGACAGAAGGTCCACTACAAGGTATTGCACTTTTCTTGGTGGCAACTTAGTGACATAGAAGAGTAAGAAGCAAACAATGGTAGCAAGAAGTAGTGCAGAGGCTAAATATAGAGCCATGGCACACACAACATGTGAACTAGTGTGGTTGAAGCATCTCCTAGAGAAAATGGGGTACTCGATTGACACTCCTATGAAGCTATATTGTAATAATCAAGCTACAGCTCACATCTCCTCTAATCTAGTGTTTCATAAAAGAACAAAGCATATAGAAGTTGATTGCCACTTTGTACATGAGAAGATGCTTAATATAGTGATAAGTACAACATATGTGAAACAGGAAATCAATGGGCAGATCTGTTTACCAAAGGGTTGAGTCGGGGAAGAGTGGACTACATA